CTTCTTCAGGCGGCAGTATTAGCGACGATTGTGAGTGTTTCAAACGCACTCGGGAGAATCGACGCCTCGTGAGGCCACAAACACGCGGACGGAGAGGCCGTGAAACGTGGCCACGGACCGCGATCGACAAAGTTCCTTTTGTAAATTCAGGCAAGAACACTTGCGGTGCTTTAAATGTAATAAATTAAGTATCATTTTACTCAAGTTGGGCCCCCGGCGTTCCTGATTTATGACGCGTGTTTAAATATTTAAATGTCCGCACTACATCCTTTACCACGTGTTTTTCTGCGCCCCCCCCCCACACCCCAACCGCCTGGGGCCTGCTGGCATAAAATAAGTGACGGGCTGGAGGATTAAATGCGGCTTTGGGCTGTGACTCAAAGGGCGCGTGCGAGGCGTGGGTCGTCCACGAAAATCCCCGTCGTTTATTGGCCCAGAGACACAGCCCCGCTGAGTCTCGAGACGCATTCTCGAGAGGAATAAATGAATGCCCTGGTGATGGTGGCTGCTGCTGCTGCCGCCGCGTTTGTCAGCGGTGCACACGCACAATGAACAAAGCAAAAACACTCAATGTGGCCTTAATATATGTAAAAAAATGTTTTATATAAAAGACGGCGTTTCAGGAAATTGTCCTTCTCATTGCATGTTGTACGTGTTGTGCTCTGAGAAAATACCATTTCCCGAAACCTCGTCTATTATATATTTATTTATTTTAAGGACACAGTGCTAGCTTCTTCCGGGAGGGTTATTTCTTCTCCATTGGGGTGTCAGAATGATTCCACGGAGTAGAAACTGGAGTTACGGGAAAATAAACTCAGAAAATGGCATCATAGCAATGCCGATCGTTTACCCCAGGGCAGCCTTCGATGAGTCTCAAGGCTCGTTCTCAGGAGGGCTTCTACTCCATTGGGATGTTTGGTCAATTCCATTTGGTGAGCGTGTGGCTTCGCGTGGGTGCAAACTTGAGAAACTCCCACATCGCAAAGTTGAATGGCGCGAGACTCAAATATTTCCACATGCGGATTCAGTCCACAGACTCATCACGGTGAGCGACACAAAAAAAATAAGTATAACCCGTAAAAACAAAGTTTTTCACTCTAAATCCTTTATATGCGTGGCGGCTAGAGTCCTCTCGTCCTCTGGCTTGAGATGGCTGCCACCTATGGGTCAGATGATTGTCTGCAGTATTAAACAATTGGTAATTAAATATTTAATTTGTTTTCCCTAAACAGTGTAAAATTTTGGAAATTTTTTTTCACGAACATTAATTGTCTCGCACAACGAGTCTGTGTGCAAAATGTCAGCTCGATTGGATCACGGGAAGTGGGTTAAAAAACGACCGAAAGGTTTGCACGGTCGTAAGCAAGCAAGCAAGCGAACTTAATATAAAGGATTTAATAACCGAACTTCGGACCGCACCCATCGCTGTACAGCAATCTCCTGGCACCGACAAACACGTGGTAAGCCCGGGGATGTCACCCAGACAATCACTGACCAGGCTCGATCGCACAGCGAGGCTCTCCGGGAAAAATCATCGCCAGTCGTGAACAATTCACCGCTGGATGAAGGCCCCTTTCTCACGGTCCTGACATTCAACAATCCGCCCAAGCATCTCCACTCGAGATCGCTCCATCTTCCTCGATGGATGCATTCCTTGGCTGTCACTCCATAATTGTTCTCTAACCTCGGCCACGAAACCCTTCCAGCGACTCGATGTATGTTACCCTTTCTACGACGTCTGTGCCTTGCGTGTGATGTCTGTACGTTCCCTGATTCTCCCAAGGATTTGCATCTCTCCACCCTGCTTCGTGCGACTCTTACGTTTTTTTTGTTTGTGGTTGCTCGTGTTCCATTCGTTAATGTCCTTGGTTTTTTTCTGATTAAGATGCAATAGCAGGTGTCTGCGCATTGATTAACCGCGCGTTCTGCTTTTTAGGCAACGCATTGGCTTCGTGATTTAATTGTTTTTTTTATTAATTTTAATTTCAGTCACGAAAACTTCAAATCTAGAATTCGTTAGACCCGGTTCAGTTATTTTGTTTCCTTCCAAAAGCACCACAGGACGCGCTCGTCTGGCCAGCCTCCATGATTCCATCTCTGTGATCGCCGCAGAGGTGCTGCCACAACTCGTATCTCATAATTTATTGACGACCGCGCCGTGTCCTCGATAACGACGACAGCCAGGACAGATCAAGGCCCAGTGGGCACGGGCCACGCTGCGTCGTCCAGATTACATCCCTCACACAGATAGCTCCACTAGTTCGGCGAACGTGTACATCATTTCATGGGATAAATACATTAAAAAAAAATAAATGACGTTATTATTATTATTACTTGCTCGGTGTTGTTATTCGCAACGCGGTGGAATTTCCTGTTGAATGCTCTTGCGATTGTAGCGCGCCATCAATGGAAATGATCATCATCATCAGCAGCAGCAGCGACCATGATCAATCCACCGCAGCCATCACACAAACTCCCACAACGAGCAACCGACATCAATAAACATCGCCAGTGGCAACAGCGCACGGACAACGCATTGTTGGTTACCGCATTGACGGCCGTATCTCTTTACCAATTAAACCACCCTCACCGATTGCGTTTGAAATGTACGCAATCGAGACTCTGCTGACATGAGTATCGAGTCCGCCATGCATACCACGTGCGAGGATGAAAGCCTAACGCGTCGTTATTATTAGCACGTAGTGGCGTCGCGGTGCCCCCGTACCCACGATTCAAACGGTCTATATGGAGATGTGGGGTTTCACCACGGGATCATAGGGTGGGGGGCGAGTGTTGTTAGCGAACCCCTATTAAGGCCGGAACGGCGCACGAAGAGGGGAGATGAGTGGTCAAGAACATCCTGGCCGCTTTTGTGTCTCCCCAATGGTTGATGTTTGGACGACGCAGAAGGTTTACCCTTGTAAAGGCTGAGTCGACTTAGTGGTGTCCCAGAACCGGATCAGATATCTAATCACCCGCTGGCTCGCCACTGATGTCCGTCGTAGTCGCGGATCGCTGGGTTAGAAGCGCGGTGCGCTGACCACTGCGCCACCGCTCCCCACACAATCTGGACGCAGGGCAGCGATAGCAGCCAGCACTCGTCACTAAGTTGATGGCGACGGGGCCTGTGCCAGGTCAGGTGCACTCCGAGGCCGTCACGTCAAGCGTGGAAGACTCCGTGCTGGCAGGAGGTCGCGAGACAGACCCCCGGTGCTACGGGTTCACGGACTTGACGTGACCGGCAGATGCAACAGCTGCTGTGTGCTCCGCTCGCTGTCACGAGCCTCCTTCCTCCGAAGTCCAATCGAAGACACGCGCACACAACAACAGCAGCAACAACGGCCGCCGCCGCCGTTCACCACGACGAAAGTGGTGGTGACGTCGCTACGGCGCTTGTGCCATGCTAGGTGCACTCTGAGGCGCAACACACGGACACGGATGGACCGAGGGTGGAGTGCAATGGGACCACTAGTCCGTCTAATTATGAGATATCGGGGTGGGAGGGGGGAGGATATCGCGATTACAAAGTCGCACGCACGTGGAACGTTTGAAAGCAGCAACAGGTGGCAATAAAGCAACAGCAGCAGAAGAAAGGAATCGTTTGTTTTGGAGAAGCTGGCGTCGTTAAATTTTATGTTTTAATTTAGCGCCGCGGATTCGCTTGCACCGGCTTTTGACGGTCCCCGCCAGAGATGTATTTGCGCGGAATGAAAGAGCAGAAAGAAAAAAAATCCGAAAACAATCCTCGCTCCGCGATAAACTCATCGGAATGTTGCGTTCTTGTGTTCGTTTGTGGTGGTTGGGGTATTGTTAAGGGGAGATGAAAGCGACGGGGCCGGACGGAGTCAAGAATTTTTGTTATTTTTTTGGTGGCGGCGGCGGCGGCGGCGGTGGGGGAATGTTTCACTCACAGACAAAGGAAACAGCTGCATCCGTACGCGACACTTTCCCCCGTGGGGGTGACAATGGGAATGGGTTCTGGATGGGGAGACGGCGCAAGGAGGGAAACGCTGATGCCAATAATGAATCATCGTCATCACAATAATAATAATAATGATGTCTTCTAGATTTGAAGCTTTCGTGACTGCAAGGATTCATACTCTTTGGTTTTTTCGGTAAAGTCGCGTAGGTTAAAAAGTTTAAATAAAATAAATGAAAACAACTCAATTAAATCACGACGTTTCGGGCGCAACACAAGCGTCAGTCATCAGGTGGGAAAGCATGGCCTGCTGCTAATGCAGACTGTTTTTTTTTGTGTTGCGCCCGAAACGTCGTGATTTAACTTAGTTGTTTCCATTTATTTCATTTTTTACCTTCGTGACTTTACCGAAAAAAAACCAAAGCGTGATAATAATGTCGCTGACGACCTGCACAGGTTTCTCCCACGCCGGTGCTTGTGCAGCCCTCCGAGTCGTCAGTGGGCACGATGTCCGACGGTTCGTACTGCGTATTAGGGGTGGGGGGGGGGGAGCTTCTTCAGCTTTGGTCAACTGGAAAGCATCTGTTGCTGCGGCTTTCAGCGCATGTGGAGCGAAACGTCGGACGTGGCAGGGCTGCGCTATGAACGGCACGGTGCCGCGTGAGTTCCCGCCGACTGTGATTTTTGCACACAGCGTTTTAATACGTTTTTTTTTTGGGGGGGGGGGGTATTTGCTGGTTTATTCTCGGATGTTTTTGTTGCGCGTCGTCGCTTTGGGATGTTCTGTGTTCATATTTAGTTTGTTGACGTTGCACCCGTCTCAAGAGCCGCATGGCTCACAGGGCTCTACCTAATAAATGAAACTTGAAGACTTGAAACTTGATGATGCGCGGCCCTCCCTGGCTTGTCGGCTTGTGCCGCGTGTTGTTCCGCGTGGTGTCCGACGTTCCGAGAGCTTCTTCAGGAACCGAATTCAGCAGCTCGACACTCCACACCCCAAAGCTCTTTTAATCTCGTTCACTATACACAATGTACACAATGTGCGTGTGTGTGCGTGTGCTATCTCGGTCATCTCGGTCAGTCGACCCATGGCACCTGCTGGGTCTGCCCCGTGACCTCCTGCCAGCGGGCGTTCGACACGTCACGTGGCCTCAAGGTGCACTTGGCCTGGCACAAGCGTCGTGGTGACGTCACCGCCACTTAGTGGCGAATGGCGGTTGTTGTTGTTGTGCCAACTCTTATCCGTTACAATTTAAATTGTGCTGTTTGTTGCTGGGCGATTGATGTGTTGGGGCCTTTCGGCCCTGCGCTGAGCGACTGTCTTTGAAACAAACAACCCGATATGACGCAGAACACAAGACGCCCCCAAAAGTAAGGCACCAAAACGGATCACACAGGGAGGGGGTGCATGCGTGTTGGGTGTGCGGGGGAAATAAGTGCGCCGTATAATCGGGAGACTACGGTCAAACATTGACGTTACCGTGGCAACGACCTCGTTAGCAGCGGGGACTGACACCGCCTGGTCCTCCCTCCTCCACCTCCATGCCACGACGGAACCGACTCGATGTCTCCCCTCCATCGGGGGGGGGGGGGGTTACCGCAGCTGTGGATGTTGCAAAAGGGAGGGAGATCAGAGACCCTCCCTCCCGTTCCCCCACGTGCCTCCCCCCTCCTCCACCACCCGTCCCATCTATCTATCTCCCACCAACCCCATCTGTTCCGCAATTGCCTCGGACCCAAGGCCCTCGCTTCGATTGCCTCGGCGCGGACTCAACGACAGCCCCAAAGGTCGCGAAGAACTCCCGCGAACGATGGGAGGGAGAGCGCCCGGCGGCACAAACGCAGCGAGTTGGCACAGTCGGGAGGGGGCGATTTGGTGGTTGGTGGTGGGGACACGGTGGGGTCTCGGCTGCCACTCATCTCAGTCGCTTCACCCACAAACGCCTGGTTCGCGTCCATGGACCTCCTCGCCTGCGGACCTTGGGACACGTCGCGCGGCGTCGAAGTGCACCCAGCCTGGCACAAGCGCCGTGGTGACATTATACCATAACGGACTGAAATATGTGCACGTGTGTGTGTGTGTGTATTTGTGTACACATGTGAGCGCATGCCTGTGCGTGTGTACACGTGTCTGTGTGTGTGTGCCTGCGTACACACACGAGTTCAAGCCTTGTGTACACATGTGACTTCATGCCTGTGCGCGTGTGCGCATGTGTACACACGTTAGTTCATGCCCATCTCTGTGTATGCACGTGTGTTTGTTTTTTAAGCATTTGCCAAGACGCATAGCGTCTGCAAAGTGGGGCTATACATCTTGAAATGTGAGAGCCGTTTCTTTGCCTTTGCCAAATCTACCGACCTCTCGCGCCGCCCTCCCTCCACGTCCCAACCACTTGCCAACGCAAGTTCCTTCTTATATTTGTGTTGTCGTCGTCGTTGTTGTTGTTAAAGCCGATGACGTCACGAGCAGAGTCCGGGAGCCGTAATGAATTCTGAGCGAACGGAACCGAATGTTGATACAACTTGATCCCGTATGTGGTGGTGGTGGTTGATTGTGATGGTAGAAGTGGATAGTGGTGGTGGTGGATGATGGTGGTGGTAGTGGATTGCGTTGGGGGTGGATTGTGGTGGTGGTTGGCTGGCGTGGTATTGGATTGTGGTCGTGGATTGTTGTCCGAATAGATAGTGGTGGTGATTTACAGTGGAGGTGAATTGTGGTGGTGGATTGTGGTGGTGGTGGATTGCGGTGGTGGATTGTGGTGGTGGATTAATACGGTGGTGGATTGTGGTGGTGGATTAATACGGTGGTGGATTGTGGTAGTGGATTGTGGTGGTGAATTGTGGTGGCGTGTTTGCACAATGTTCGCTTTATTCCCTGAATTAAATTCGCAGGTCCCTAATATTTGCTCATTACATCACATCACATTGAAAACAGCCCCCACCCCCCAACTCCCCCCCCCCTAAAAAATAACAGCTGTAAGAATAATCACTGTTTTATTTAAGTGGTCATTTATAAACAACACGTTACGTTTCAAAGGGTGCATTATGTCGAGAACATTACAGTGGTGAGTGTGATTCGTGTAGATGCATATGTGGCAGCGTTTCATATAAAAGGCTAATATCGCATCCACCACCACCAGCACCACCATCATCATCATCAGCCATGATCTATCCACTGCTGGACGAAGGTCTTCCCGTGCCGTCTCCATCCCTCGCGGCGCCGCGATGTTCACAATCCATCTCACGCGTGCTCACGAGCTGATCTCCATCGCTCCATCTCCCGCGTTGGCCGTTCCTCGTGGGCGCTCAGTCACCAGCGTTAACCTGCGATATACAACAACAAGAAGATAAACAACAACAATCTTGTTGTTGTTTATCAACAACGAGATATACAACAAGATAAACAACAATATTAACAATATTAACAAGATAAACAACAACAAGATGAACAACAACGAGATATACAACAACAAGATACACAACAACTGCAGCTACATACTATTAACATTCCTTCCCTTTGTTAATGCTACCCCCTATCCTCTCCCTTTGATGCTGCTAATCCTGCATAATGCACGGGCATAATATGACTTTGAAACCCCCGCCCACCTACGCATTTCCCATAAATATGCTAAATTCCTCTTGATATGCAAATTATTTTATCAAGGCGCTCTTCTTCCCCCTCCAACCCAGCTTAAATATACGCTCCAAGCTTGGTGATGTTTCATTCTTCACCTTAGGACTGCTGCTTGCGTTGTAGCCGAAACGTCGTGAGAATTATTTTATTATGTTTTATTATTATTTTATTATTTCCCTTCTACGTGACTTTACCGAAAAAACCAAGAAGAAGATACACAACAACAAGATACACAACAACAAGATACACAACAACAAGATACACAACAACAAGATACACAACAACAAGATACACAACAACAAGATACACAACAACAAGATACACAACAACAAGATACACAACAACGAGATAAACAACAACGAGATATACAATAACGAAAGCAATCGCAACTATTGATCGTTAGGTCGTGGCCGAAAGCTCGCTTTCAAAAGGTACTGTGCAAAAATTATGGATACGTACGACAAAATAATTTTAGTTTTTTTCAAAGTATTTTTTTGTTCGTATATTTAATTTCCAGAAATGGAGCACTTAGCCGGGCACCGTTTGAGGTCCCGAGTTCGAATCCAGGCGTGTCGGGCACCTGTGCAATAGTCGCGAACAATCCCAGGTGTGGGATTGCTCCGTGCGCGCTCGATACAAATCCAGCCGCTCAATTGAAGGGTTTTCGTCTCGTCGGCCAGGGCGATGACGTCACAAAGGGGTGAGTGCGATGACGTCACAAGGGGGGGGGGGTGCGACTCTCCTCCACCGCATCTCGGCGCGCGTCACCTGTCACGTGAGCCGGCAGTCTTCGATTGTTTTATTTATTTATTCACATTGACGCGTCTTTAGCCAGGAGAGCCGCACAGTCTCAAGGCTCTATGTCGGGAGGGTCCCGTCACGTGTTTCGCAGTAAGGGGGGGTGGGGGTGGGGTGGACGTTGCGATGGAGTCATTTACAGGTTGTGTTTCAGCGTTGGAATGTTTTGGTCAAAAGCAGTGACATTGTTGTACAGTATACACACACGTATATATGTTTTTTATCTATGAGGGGTTGATGGGGGAGGGAGTCGGGAATCGAACCCATGCGCTTAGTGCTGCGCGGCACGTGCCATCGCTGCGTAACGGCTGCAGCCTGATCCCTCCATGAGTCAAGTGAATACCTGGCTCACGTGAAGGAACAAAAACAACAACAACAAAAACAAGAACAACAACAACAGCAACGAGACGGGCTGTCAATGTTTCGACGAAACAAAGAAAACCGAACGCAGACATGAATCGAAAATAAATCGAGATCCCCCCCCCCCCAACCCTCACCCCCCACGGGGAACGATTCGAAGCATTGCAGCGAGCGCGGAGCGTGAGAGTCGATCTCGCTCGACGGCTCGAGCGAGCGATCGGTGGACACCATCGACCCGCGCGAACTCCGCAGACGTCCGAATCTCCCTGTGACTCAACCTCACAAACGCGCGGACCGCTCCGTTTATTTCCCAGAGACAACGACACAGGACCCACGTGTAGCCTCAACATTCATAATCAACGTTTTTGGGTTAGATCGCGTTATTTATAAATGTGTCGTAACCCTCCACCACCCGAAACGGCCAATTAGTAAAAAAAGTGTCACTTTGACAAAAGACAAATAGTTCACAACTTTAGCCCACCGGTGTGTTGAAGAGTGAATTCACAACATTTACAATTTTTGAGTAGCACGACGTTTCGCTGGTAATTACATCCAGCATCATCGGGCAATTTACCAGAATATACTTTCGGGGCAAGTGCTGTTTAGCGAGCAACTATGAAGGCCGGCACGGCACTCGATAGGGGGGGGGGGGGGGTGAGCGGCCTGCACCACGCCCGACCGCCTTTGTCCCCCAGTGGCGATGTTTACACACCGCACCAGGTACGCTCACTTGAGGCTGAGTCGACCTAAGGGAGGCACAGGACCGGTTCAGATAATCGTCACTGGTGTCGGCCGCGAGCGGGAACCTCTCCACTCTGCTTCGTCACTCATGGGGAGTTCAGAGGGTCGACTGATTTGATGACATCAAATATTAAGGCAAGTGCTCAGTTTTTTCGGGACTGATGCTAAGCCCCCCTCCCCCCCCCCGTCTTTTAGTGGCGCGCTCCAGGTTCGGCAGCAGATTCTCCAACTCCTCAAGAGTGTGCGGCAATTACCACGCGAATTATAATATTGTTCTACAGGGACTAGAGCTCTAAACGCGCGTATGGCTCCATCCCAGCCCTGACAAAAATAAATAATAATATAAACCACCAGGGCAGGGCTCAAGGGTTGATTGGTTTCACTCCGAGGGCAAGGCGAAGTCTCGTGTGCTCCAAGTCTCGTCGTGCTCCAACGTTCACAAACGTTACAATACCTTCAGTAAACCAAGGAGTTTACACCATTGGAACCTCCTTTGCCAGTAGCAAAATATTATCATTAGTTTTTTACCCTTTTATCTGGCAACAAGACTGACACCTTTTTCTACAAGGAGTCATGTTTGCATTGACCACAATACCTGCGGTCGGAATGCAAACAAAAAACACACAACTCTGATAATGGATATGCACTGTCCTTGAAATGTATTGGTCCACTCCCGAGACAGCTTTCCTTAGAGCCTAGTCTCACATGGTGTTGGACCAGATGACGCCAAAAAGCGCACAACTCGAAGACAATGCACCATCAGAGTAATGAGAGCTCGGGGTGAGCAGCTACATCATGGGACCTCCTTTTGTGTCGAACAGGGAGGGCAACCGGTTTCGCCCTTGGGGAGTTTCATCAGCACGTCCAGACTTCTAAAAGACACAATACCGGAACGAGCGTCAGACGTTACAGACGAGACGGGGGGGGGGGGGTCTTATTCAACGAAACAAGAAAGAATGTATTAAAAAAACACAAAACACGAGCGTGCATAATGAGTGTGTGTACTCGCTCCTATTATTGGGGGCGCCCCGGTGCCTCGGTGCCACTTAGGCCAAGATTGGCCGAGAGTTGGGGAGAGAATTCCTGACATTTTTCGGCCACAAAGACCAACAAAGAACCCCCTCAATACCCAGGCAGGTCCCCACCTCCTCTCCCCCCCCCCCCATGCCCTAATTTAATGCGGCTGCTATTTGAGATTCCTCATACGCACTCAGAGAATGCGAACACACGATAACCAGTGTGTGGCTGTTTTGTGTAAGCTCACGTGTGTGTGTGTGAGAATTCAGGTGTGTGTGAGTTCAGGTGAGTGTGTGTTCAGGTGAGTGTGTGTGTGTGAGTTCAGGTGAGGTGTGTGTGTGTGAGTTCAGGTGAGTGTGTGTGTGATAATTCAGGTGTGTGTGTGAGTTCAGGTGAGTGTGTGTGTGAGTTCAGGTGAGTGTGTGTGTGAGTTCAGGTGAGTGTGTGTGTGAGTTCAGGTGAGTGCGTGTGTGTGTGAGTTCAGGTGAGTGTGTGTGTGTGAGTTCAGGTGAGTGTGTGTGTGTAAGTTCAGGTGAGTGTTGTGGGGAGCGGTAGTGTAGCGGTTAGCGCGCTGCGCTACGCTGCGAACCCGGCGACACGGGTTCGATTCCCGCTCACGGCCAACACCAGTGACGATTATCTGAACTGGTCCTGGGCCTCCCCTAGGTCGACTCAGCCTCAAATGAGTAGCTGGTGCGTTGTGTAAACATTGCCATTCGGGAGACAAAGGCGGTCGGGCGTGGTGCTGGCCACCCACCCCCTCGTGTACCGTTCCGGCCATTTATAGGTGCTCGCTAACAGCATTTGCCCCTACAGTCTGTTAAGGCTATATGGGGGATCTTTGTCTTTGTGTATGTAAGCCCTCGTATGTGTGTGTGTCAGCTCACGTGTGTACATGTGTATGACCTATGGTGTGTGCGTGTGTGTATGTGGGAAGCGGTAGAGTAGTGGTTGAGAGCTACGAACCAGGCCACCCGGGTTCGATTCCCGCTCACGACCAACACTAGTGACGATTATCTGAACCGGTTATGGGCTTCCCCTAGGTCGACTCAGCCTCGAATGAGTACCTGGTGCGATGTATAAACATCGCCACTGGGTAAACATCGTCACTGGAGAGACAAAGGTGGCCCGGAGTGGTGTTAGCCAGCCATCCCGTCGTGTTCCATGCCGGCCTTCATAGGTGCTCGCTAACAGCGATTGGGATATTGGTCATTGTTGTGTATGTTAGCCGCTGTGTAAGAGTTCAGGTGTGTGCGAGAGAGAGTTTGTATGTGTGTGTATAAGCTGGTGTTTGTGTAAGAGTTACGGCGTCTGTGTGTCAAAGTTCAGGTGTGTGCATGTGCGTTTAAAACTCACGATCGTGCACCCTTTCTACAGTCTATTGCATCAATGTTATTCTTCATTATTCCAATTCCAATTCCCCTGCAGTAGAGATCGATATCTCAATTTTCCTCCGCACGGGCATTAAACGATCATGGGCGCCCGAACGAGCCACCTCGCGTGTCCGTGGGGAGCGGTGGCGAAGCGCTGAGTTGCAATGCGCGTTACGAACACGGCAAGGAACAAACAAACAAAAAAAACAATACAATCGTACGGCTCCAATTTCACTCGACAATAATGGTAACCATGGGCGGGAATCGAACTCTGAGCGGGGCCGTGTTCATAGCGCATTGCAACTCAGCACACCGCTCCCCACGCAGGAGGAAATTGAGATATCGATCTCTACTGCAGGGGAATTGGAACAATAAAAAATAACAAAGATGCAATAGACTCGGGGAGAATAAACCCAATACCAATTAAGAACGAAAAACACAAGTGCACGCGATTCTAGAAATGAGAATCGCATGGAGAAGCAAACTTTACTGATGGCTCTCCGATCTGCCATTTGGTGCCATGGTGGCAACGCACGCGGCTTGTAACTCAGCACTTGTACAGGCGACGGTTGGTAAATCACACGCAGATGTCGTGAAACTCCTTTCGCATTGGTGTCGAGGAGATGTCGTTCCGTGGCTCGCCAGGAGAACGCGGTCCAGCAAAGCGCAGACTCATATCATCTGCTCCCTCTGCATGGGGTACAGGCGTTGCCAACTCGCACGGCGTGGTTTTTCATTCGAGTGCTCCGGGTTCTTCCCTACATCTGCAAACACTCGTTCATTGGCTGAAGCGCCTACATAGAGGACCGCGGAGCTTGGAGGAATGTTTATGGCGCCGCGTCACCGCCCGGCAGGCAGCCAACCCAAGCTTGCATGTGGTTCATCGGTGATTGTCAGATTCAATTTGCATGAACGACGTTCTGTACATATTTTTTTTTAAACGTCTTTGTTACTACAGCGGTGCGACAATTCGCTCGTCTTGCTGGGCTCTCTTTCAGGAGCTAAAGCGAGTAGCTCAACGATCTCAATCGACGATGTCGCGTCGCAAGCTGCTCCTTGGCTTCGACGCAGGCCGGCCGGTGTTACTCATCCAGTTGGCGAGACGATCGAGGGATAGAGAAGGGAGCTTCTCAATTCAACTCGCCGAAGAAGCTGCTCCCAGCCGCGTGAGTGAAGATGTGGGTAGGAGAAAATCTCTTCGTGATCCACCCCCCCCCCAACCGTTGGATCATTGGTAAAAATACATCCCCGCCACACACCTTTAACGCATTAGCCTTCCTGGATGCACGTAAATTTAACCGATAAAACAAAGCTGAAACAGCACCATTCTCTCAACGTCCAACCACTCCACGCCACCTCCACCCTCCGCACACAAAGTTTTTTTTTAGTTTTTTTAAACGTTGCAAGATTTGTATAATTTTTTTTTAAAATATTTATTTTAAAATCTTGACTAGCTGCGCAGATTTCTAGTCGAGTCGAGGCTCAAAAACCCCTTCGAGGTGGTGTGCCGTGCTCGCTAAGAGAACGCGCGCCTTCCGTGGGCTCCCGTCGGGGCCCTGAGCGGCCACGTGCGTCGCTCGGCATTGATCCGCGCCACGTGGCACTCGTGAAGGTAATTGCGGCTTCTCCGCGCTGCGAGGTTGAGGGCGCGGAGCCTCAGATGTAGTCAAGAAACCATTCGGGTGGGTCGGGGTGGGGGGTCTCAGCGAGACGCCGCAGACAAAGATTCCCCCGTGTAGCCTCAAGAGAATGTTGGGGCAAGTGCTTTTAGCGAGTAACAGCGCCTATGAAGGTGTGTCAGCTTACGTGTGTACATGTGTATGAGCTATGGTGTGTGTGTGTGTATGTGGGAAGCGGTAGTGTAGCGATTAGCGTGCTGCGCTACGAACCTGGCCACCCGGGTTCGATTCCCGCTCACGGCCAACACCATCAGTGACGATTATCTCAACCGGTCCTGGGCCTCCCCTAGGTCGACTCAGCCTTTGCCGTCGCCCAGTGCTTAAGATTTATAAGTCGCGAAAATGTTTACTAATTTAAGGATGAGTCCACACGACAAAGAGGCCTTGTTAAGTTAAATTATTCGCCGCCACTGTCATTTGCTCGTGAGCGAGAGTCGAACTCGGCTTGCCGGGTTCGTAGTGCAGTGCACGTAACCACCACACTCTCTGATTTAAAGCTTTCGTGACTGCAGGGATTCATATTCTTGGTAAAGTCACATAGAAGGGAAATAATAAAATAATAAAAATATTAAACAATACAAATTCTCACGACGTTTCGACTGCAACACAAGCAATCATCATCAGGTGTGAAATCCACAGCAAGAAAATCTTCTTGCTGTGGATTTCATGAGAATTATTTATATATTTATTATTTTATTATTTCCCTTCTACGTGACTTTACCGAAAGAACGAAGAATATATATACACCACACTCTCGTTCGCCGTGCACACATGCGCATAGACACACGCAAAGACAAAGACGCATACACACACACACACACGCGGGCGCGCGCGCGCATAATAAAAAAAATGAAATGAACATTTTAACGTTCCTGTGGGAACGTAACGTGAGAATATTAATCCGAGCACAATTGCGCGAGTTACAACCTCGTGCTTCCCGAGGCGCGCCGAACCACTTGAACGTTGTCAAAATTCGTCTCCCGTGTCTCGCAATTGTTATCTACCCCCCCCCCCCACTCGCGCATCTCTGGCTGCCAGGTTCATGCGATGAGCGTTCCACTAACTCAAGTTCAAGTTCATTTATTAGGTATAGCCCTGTGAGCCATTCGGCTCTTGAATCGGGTGCAACCGCAACAAACAAAAATATGAACAAAAAAACATCTTAAAGTGAATATGTGACTGAGTGCAAACAGAAAATCCAATTAAAGACAGCAAAATATTGCAGAAAAAACACCGTACACCAACCAGTGGCATGCAAGTCAAACAACCAACAACAACCACAAGACAACTTAGATTAAGGCCATCAGTCTAACTCTGTACTACAACAAACAAACATAGCTAAACCACCATTGGTACCTCATTTGCCAGTAAAAAATATGATAATTAGCTTTTTACCCTTTTATCTGGCAACTGACACCTTTTTTCACGTTTCGGGACAGGACCACCCATCCAGCGAGCTTACACCCCCCCCTCCTCCTCCCTCTCTGTGAGTGTGTCTACGTCGAAGACGCGTGCGAGTCTCAAAGGCTCGCGTGCGTTCACGAGGCTCCTGCTACATGGGGATGACTTGGGTGCTCGCGTGTGAAAACAGAGAGGCAGCCGGGGAAACTCCGGAGAACACAGGTCGCAGTGCGATGGTCGCGATTCTGACATGCTCGCTACTTCCTCGTGTGCACCGTTCTTGCTGTCCCCATGAGCCCAATTGCAAAATGAGCGTGTCAATTGCACATGGATCGCAATTGATACGATTTGATGCATGCATCATTCGCCTTCACGGAGCTGTCGGTGGAGGTGCAGCCCTGCAATTTTTGCCCACGCCCCTTGCTGCTGAAAGGGCCCTCCGTTCGAGGTTCTTTTGGCCTACTCTTCCACGCTGGTCGTAAGTCTTTGAAGAGGTGGGATTACCCACACTTTGCCTCACCATGTATATTGCCGGGGGGAGGGGAGGGGGGAGGGGCGGCGGGTGAGGATGGGTTATTGAAATTCGACCATTGTTTCAACTGCCGCGCCGAGAAATCGAAAACAGGCGAGCTGTGCATTGCAATTCCATGCGCGCTGACCCCTGCACCACGGCACACCGTCGGCAGTCTCTATAAAACTTAATGAGCTCTGGAGTCGGATAAGGAGTGTGGGGTGGTGGTGGTGGTGGTGGGGATACAGGGGGAGAGAGATCCCACGGGACCATTACACAGGCACGTGACATTCATTTTGAAGTTGGTGGTGGGGGGGTTGGGGGGAGGGGGGTTGTGGGGGGGGGGGGCATTTGTTTTGTAGAACTTCGCCGTCAGACGAATGAATGATTTGAGTTGTTTTTTTTATCCGTGCTCTAAAGCGCGCACACACATACGCCGTCACCGGCATTAGTCGACCAAGAAATTCGCCTCCCGTTGAGTGTCACCGTAAAGCCGACGGATATCAGACGAGGCCGGCGCGACCTGTTGAGAGATGGCGGACGGCTTGGGAAAGGGCCTTTATCCAGCAGTGGATTTATCATGGCCGGTGATGATGATGAAGGCAGTGACATTCGTGAGGTTGGTGAATGTTTTTTGTCTGCATGAACACCCACCGCCAGACGCAGTCACTTTGTGTTTCATTTGCAACAACAACAACAGCAGCAGCAGCAAACAAGAACATTTCAGTCGAATTAAACCAAATCGCCGGTGATGCTCCCGTGGCACAATGCACTTGAGATCCGTCTGTCCCCGCTTCGATTTGATTCGATCTCCCGGTACGGAAGTTGAAGACAATGGTTCGGGTTTCTCGCCTGGCTCCTGCCCGCCTCTCACACCCGGCAGCACGCAATGCGTTCACCACAGTTGCTCTAAGGGCAGCTCGCACGTGGCGAGGTAGAGCGTGGGCACTCCAAGGTCTTCCAGAACGTCTGCCAAGCGTGGAAGAGTCGACAAAATACCCTTCTAAAGCGCTCTCTCTCTCTCTCTCTGAAGTGGATGCCCCTTCCGCCAGCAGTGGCGTGAGCAAGGAACCTGCAAGGTTGCGCCTTTACCCCCCTCCCCCCGACAGTCAAAGGAATTAATTGTGTCCTGGATGGAGCGGGCGGGAGGGTGGCTGCTTGTTTCATCTTAAACGGGCAGTTTATTTAGCCCGAGTTGTCCTCGACCCGCTTTGCTTTGGTTTCCATGGGGGGAGGGAGAAAGGGGAAAAAAACGAGAGGAAACCCTCCCCCCCCCTCTCGAATTGGATCTTATCTCGCGTGTGCGTGACTCATGGGGCTCGCGGTGTTTACTCGCGAAGCGCGCGACACGCGGGGGATTCCATGCCGCGAACAAAAGTACGAGACCGCCGAATGATGATGATGATGTTTTTTGTTTTGTTTTTCTGGCAGTCGCGAAAGCTGTCGGGCTCGCAGCAGCTGCACCGGGGGCCCCCACGGATCGGAGGGGATCCAAGCGCCACAGGCGAAAAGGAAGAGGGGTGAAGAGTGGGCCCCGCGGATAGGGGACGGGTTCCCCATGGATAGGCGGGTCCTCCTGTGACGAGGGGTCGGCGGGGGTCAGAGTTTTCTTTTTCCCCTAGCGTCAGGGCCCATGGCAGCCAGGCTAACGCACACTGTGTCGTGTATTTGCTCAGATTCCGAGACATCGCCATCTTCGCAATCATCATCGGCAGCATTCTCCATCACCACACCGCTTACGAGCGTTGTCATCATCATCATCATCTTTTCACCATCAGCACCACCGGGCAGAGGTCGGATAAATGAACACCAGCTGATGGAAGAACCCTTCGATGAGAAGTTAAGAAGTCACCAGTAGGTGTAAAATGGATATGCTCCTCGCTGTCAGATGAACGTGGAATGTCCACAACTGATTAAGGACCGCCCAATGCAGAACAATCAATGCCCAGATATTCGTTTTCGCTATGAAATATACACGAATATAATCCACATATAACCCAATTCGTACACTTTATATATAGTAACGAATTGGCCACGTTTTGTTTACATGACAAACCTTACTAATTGGCTGTGTCGGGTGGTGGCGGGTTTAACGACGCATTTATATTTACGCGATCTAATCCCCAAAAATGCATCTATTGTGGAGCCTCTCCCTCCTTATCCGCATCTCTCCGGAGCCTCTGCCCTTGCTGCTCCGTTGCCTTTCCATTATTTCCTCTTGTTTCCCATGTTCTCTCTCTCATCTCTCTCTTCCATTTCACCCTTCTTTGAAATTGTCCCATTCACTGGAACATATCCTTGACTCTACCCCCCTTCCCGTCGTGGTCGTGTAGCGGTCAGCGCGCTACGTTTCCGGCGATCCGAGTTCGATTCCCGCTCACGGCCAACACCAATGACGGTTTTAGTTCATCGTTCCTGCTTTAGGCCGACTCGGCCTCAAATGAGTACCCGGTGCGATGTGTAAACATCGCCACTTGGGAGACAAAAAAAGAGGCGGTCGGGCGTGGCGCTGGCAACCCACCCTCTCGTGCGCCGTGGCGCCCTTCATAGGTTCAGTGCTCGCCAACAGCACTCGCCCCCAAGACTTCTGTTAAGGCTATAGAGGGGGGGGGGGGGGAGTGCAGGTGGATTGTTGTCTCCGTGAGCATGCGTTAGCCACTCACTCGCCCGCACGCTGCTGCTGCTTGCTACTGCACCTGCATGTGTGACACACACGCGCGCGCGTGTGAGTGAGTTCCCATGGAAGAGAGTGTTGAGTGATGGCTCGGCGCTTGTGTCGGCGGCACTGCACGGTATGCGACCCCGTGATCGCAATCGTGGGCACGAGGTGCGAAGGGAGGAGTGGTGGGAACGGCGGCGGTGGTGATGGTGGTGGTGGTGAGCCGTGCCGGCCTTCATAGGTGCTCGCTTACATCATTTTCGCCAAGAGCCCGCGTAGTTTATACGGTGGGTCTTTGTTTTGGCGGTCGGGGTGTATTGGGAGCGGTGGCGCAGCGGTTAGCGTGCGGAACCGAAGACCTGTTCAGATATCACTCGCCACTGATGTCATCCAAACACAGGTCGCTAAGTAAACAGCGCAGGGCTCTAACCACTGCGCCACCGCTCCCAAAATGCAGTTATGCGCTACGAACCCGGCGACCTGGGTTCAATTCCCGGCCACAGCCAAAATCAGCGGCGAGTGATTTTCGCACTGATTCTGGGCCTCCCTCTGGGTCGACTCAGCATTGAACGAGCGCCTGTCGTTGTACGGAAACATTTGATGAAGGCGAGCGGGCGTGGTTTTGGCCACATAACCCTCCCGTGCGCCGTGCCAACAGCCTTCACAGGTCTTCTTGGTTCTTTCGGTAAAGTCACGTAGAAGGGAAATAATAAAAATTCAACATAATAAAATTATTATATTTATTATCATTTTACTACTTCCCTTCTACGTGACTTTACCGAAAGAACCAAGAAGATGAATCCCTGCAATCACGAAAGCTTTAAATCGAAATTTAACCTTCACAGGTGTTCGCTAGCAGCCCTTGTCCCCAACAGTCTATTGCAGCGTATTCCGAGTATCTTTATCTTTGTGAAGCCGGGTCACAGCTGAGCGAATCAGTTGCGCAATAAAAAAAATCATCCCCCCCCTCTCGAAATCGCGCAACGCAATCGTTGCCTGGCGACGATTTTTTTTCTGTCCGCATCTCGGCGAGATAAACGAAGTGACCGCAAACTCCGCAGCGCTGCGTGCAGCGCGCGACGAAAGACGCCGCCGCAAAGTGAATCGTCGGCGAGCAGAATTGCGTCCCTCCTGTGAGCAAGCCGCTTTCCGCGACCGACCAACACGCCACCACGTCCGCACGCCGGCGACCCCGTTGCATGCAACCGAGTTGCAATCGAGTTGCATGCAACTGAATTGCAACCGAGTTGCATGCAACCGAGTTGCAACCGAGTTGCAACCGAGTTGCAACCGAGTTGCATGCAACCGAGTTGCAACCGAGTTGCATGCAACCGAGTCGCATGCAACCGAGTTGCGCGACTCCCCGAGCGAGCTCAGCGTGCCGGGAGGCGGCGGGAGGACGTCGGCGGTGTCGGAGCTCGATCGCTCGCGGCCGCGTGCTCCCCGTGAATTCCACGTTAAACGCCGAGTCAGAGGCTAAATCTGGTCTCAATTTCGCCGGGGGGGTGGGGTGGCGGGCGGTTAAACCGCGGTGCGCCTTTTTGGCTGTTGTTGCTGCTGCTGCTTACAATGATTGCTCCTCGCGGAGAAGCCGGCGACGCGCTCGGGTCGACACCGAGCGGCGGTGACGTCTCCGCCAACGCGACGACTTTGAGGCCCGCGTGGTCGCAGCGATGGAGATCGCAGGCGACATGCGTTGACCGACTGACGGATGCCACAGCCATGTTCGACAGTGTTCCACTTTTGCTTGCGTTTTATCCGCCCGGCGCTCCGCTCATTGTTGTGAGCGTCGCCCGTCCGTGCTCCGCTGTTGCTGGTGGGCGATTGCCTTCAACTGCCCAGTAGCGTCATTCACGAGCCTCTTACACACGCATCGACTTTCAAACATACATATAAAGACAACGATCCCCCCGTGAAGTATGTAACAGACTGCTAATGCAAGTGCTGTTAGCGAGCATCTATGAAGGCCGGCACGAGAGGGTGGGTGACTAACACCACGCCCGGCAGCTTTTGTCTCCCTAGTGTCGATATTTACACATCGCACCGAGTACTTCTTTGAGGCTGAGTTGACTTAGGGGAGGCTCAGGACCGTTCAGATAATCGTCACTGATTTTGACCGTGAGCGGGAATTGAACTCGGGTCGTGTTATAATTGTGCAAGTGTTATTAACATCTGTTTCCATTACCATCATCATCACCGGTCTGCCACGCACGGTGCGACTGAAGTTCAACACGCGCACGCAGCGCCCGATGATCCTAGTAGCACAAGTAGCTACACATGCAGCTACGGGCCCCGCACCTTCAAGGGCCCCGCGCTAAGTGCAATCAAGCTATCAATTCCGGTTCAGTGATTCTGAACTTGCTATATTACTATAGTACTATACTGCCTTCAACTTTCATGAACGACTGGGTGTTTAAGGTTAGCGATTTGACGTATTATGTGCCTGTATAGCAAATGAAAAAATACAATTACTTTCCTATGCAAGTAAAAAAATGTGTGTTTTAATATTTATGTGTTTTTTATTTAAATTTAGGGCCCCTTTATAACATAATCCTACAGGCCCCGCACTAGCTTAATCCGGCACTGGGTACACACAGCGTTGCGTTTCTCCACGAATTCTTTGCGCACTCGCGAGCGTTGACTTGATCCATCCGATGCGCACGTGTCTCTACGTTTTCCATCCGTGGCTGTACCGAAAGTTAGCGCTCGCCGATGAAACCCGCGCGCCGTTCGGGCACGCCGTCGGTCAGTGTTCTTCACATCACGATCCAGTTCGCATTCTGCGTCTGACCCCGTTTAACCCCGGACCGTGTCCCACCCATCTTGGCAGCGCGACGCGCACGCACGCACTCCTCACTCGTGTTCCTCAATCTCCGCCGCAACCGCACAGCACTTAGGCATCATCCACACAGCATATGCAGTACTAGCCCTTGCGGTTTGCGATTATTGATAGGGAACAAACACGCTTCGTTTTTCCTCCCACCCCTTGAGCAGAGACATGTTGGACGAGGTCGACCTACCGACACTTTACCCCCCACCACATGCGCGAAACTGCAGATCGGAGTGGAAAGATGTTAACTCCCTCGCCTGGCATGCAGGAGGTCGTGCGTTCGATCCCGACTCCGACGCCTGCTTATTTTGAGTTTGCGTGTTCTCTCCGTGGTCGCGTGGATTTTCCTCTGGGTGATGTAGGGTTTTCCCTCCACATTTAGAATCAACGTCACGCGTTTAGAGTATGTGGCTGCTGCTATACCTTCCCACATGATGAGCCACTTCGTTGAGCTATCATTTGTGGCCAGGTCGCTTCTGAAAAGGAGCTATAGAGCTCAGTGGGCCTTTCTTGGAACAAATAAAAAAAGTTTAGTAACTGTGATGGTGGTAGTTCAGTTGTCGTGCCTGATAGAATCGAATCGAACCGGCGACCTCTGGATTGCATCTCTAGCCTGTGAACCAATTTCACCGTGGCAAACTCTAGATATTTCCACACACACACACATAATGTGTCAATATACGTATAGAAGGGCTGGTGCACTCTAATGAACCCATTAACGTGACTTCAAAACCGCTCGCCCAGACGCCCGCAAATTAGCGATGCCAGGAAGCGTGACACGCGGTCTCGGAGCGCTGTAACTCGTGTTTCTTGGAACATACAATCCCCGGGCAGGACAGTGTGTGTTTCTGAGAGCCCTGAGGATGCGGGGGTCTGTGAAAAAAGGGGAGAGGGGTGGGGCTGCTTGTAAGGAAGGGGGGGGGGGTGCGAAAGGGATCGGGGAAGACAGGATAATCACCTTTCTCCAGCAAACACCCGATAATGCCGCCAGCATGTGGCGCAGGTATTTATTCTCCTGGTCTTTTTCATCTCTTAGGAATGCATGACATCATGGCCATGTGCGGAGAGAGTCAAATAGTACTGACACTACTACTACTACTGCGACCGCTGCTGCTGCTGCTGCTCATCACAATCACCGTGCAGCTGCTGCTACTGCTGCTACTACTGCTGTTGTCGGTTGTGATTGTCTGGCAGAATTATAATACGGTACAGTATCTATTTAAGATACACAATACTGCGCTAATGATGTCTTGCAAGATGTTCATCATCAATATTATCACACTGCTATTTAGGAAGTTAATTTTTGTTGTTGAAAACATTTCCACTTATAGCTGCAGAGCCAGCTAGAATCGATTAGCAATAGCCACAAAATCTTCAAAAAAAGCATGTCCATTCTAAAATTAAAGTTTCTAGTTCCGTGAGGGCCGTGTTCTGACTTGGAGAGCGGCCAAAACATTAAACGTAGCAATTGGCTCGTTGTGATTGATCGTTCGCGACCTCTATTGCCAGGTGGCTTAATTATGACATTGTTATCATCTTTATCAGGCTACTATTGATGTCCTGCAAGATCGCTGTTCAGTCATTTCCGCCGTTTTCTCGAGAAACCAAAAGCGGGACAAACGTGAAATCCGTTCTTCGCGTGTTCACCGCCGCAGCGGGTGGCGAGACGGGAATTAGGAAATCGTTTTTTTTTCTTCCAAAAAATGTACTTCGGAAGTTGGTGGTGAGATTGGTGATGCACGCTGGGGTTTGAGGCATGCATAACCCGTGAGAAAGCATTCCAGCGTAATGCGCTTCAATAAACCGCCCTTTCCAAAAAAATATGGTTGTCGGCAGTAAGTTCATTAATCTTAGTTACAATTCAAAAAGAACCACACCAATACGGCCCCTTATTTTATGAAGTGCGTCTTAAGGCCACTTAGAGACAATTATATCAGAGAAGTGACGGGATGATCTCAGAATGAGAGCACCTGAATCGGGACGTTTCGCCAGTAATTACAATTAGCTATTGGCGAAACATCGTACTCAGATTGTAAATGTTGTGGCTTGGCTCTCCAACACACCGGTTAGTGCTGTACTAGTGACGAATTGGCACGTTCTGTTGACGTGACAACCCCTACTAGTTGGCTGCGTCGGGTGGTGGCGGGTTTAACGACACATTTTTTTTATTTACGCGATCTAACCCAAAACAACCTCTATTATGGATGATATTTGTCGCAAAAGCCTACGTGTTAAAGTGATTGGAATATCTGCCTGAGTCTCACATTGTGTTGGTGTCCCTCACGAGAGTGTGGCGGAAGAGAGCATTTATTTACGTTGAATTTTCCCTGTTGCGGTTCCAGTAACGGCGAGTATGAAAAAGGGAAAAATCCCCCTTAAGATGATTTGTGCAGCTGGCCGCCGGTTCGATCGCCCTTTTCAAAATGACGAACTTGCCAAAGAGATATCAAAGCAAATACCAAAAGTAACGCGAAGAGCTTAGAGGCGACATTCCTATATCAAAGCTTGCGGCGTGTAAAAACAATATCAAACAATACTCTGGCACGTGGTCGTGTCGGACGCTGTGAGATCCGACCGTGGTCCGTCCGGTGCTCCCTGCATCGGCTTCCGGTTGCAGATCCAGGCACGCTCATCGCACACAACCATGGGTGGAAAAAAACCCGATTTTTCCAGCGGCAGGCATCGGGTTTTTTCTTTAATACATTTAAACCCGATTTCGGGGAATTAAAACCTGGTTTAATGAATACGAAACTCTGATCCAAGGCTTAGGCTGCTTCCTCGTCGGTGCTGCTATCGTACTCGGGGGGGCCGTCGGGCACGGGGTAGTCGTTGAATGCGGCGGGCAGGTTGGTCTTGATGAACACGAGCTTCTCCTCCACAATCGTGGGCGCCAGTGAGTTCCTTCGCTTGGAATGGATGAAGCCCATCGTTGAGAAGTGCGGTTCTGCAACTGCAATTAGAACCAATTAAACCGGATTTCTCCCAATCTCAGATGATCGGGTTTAATATAAAAAGACAATTAAACCCGATTGTAAAAAACCCGACTGTGCCACGCTTGCACACAACCGAGTGCTCGCCACAGATGGAACCACGATAGCTCGCTGGCCTCGGTCCCAGGAGCAGACACCACGTTGTGAGCAGCAGAGACAAATGCAGCAAAAACCTACTGGTTGTACTGTACTATGCTCCCACGTCTAGCCTCCCTGCCTTCACCAACCCGCACTTGAAGGCTGAGACCCATGGCCGACGCGGGGTGTGGCGGAGGCCGTCATCCAGCAGTGGATCGACAGGGGGTTCTACATTCCCATTATTGTTACGACACCATGACCGGTTCAGATAATCGCCACTGGTGGTGACCGTGAGTGGGCATTAAACCCCCGGGTCGCCGGGTTCGTAGCGCAGCGCGTTAACGGCGACACCACCGCTCTCCTCCACAAAGACAAAGATCCCCCGTATAGTCTGTAACAGACTGTTGGGGCAAGTGCTGTTAGCGAGCACCAATGAAGGCCGGCACAGCACACGAGGGGGTGGGTGGCCAACACCACGCCCGGCCGCCTTTGTCTCCCCAGTGGCGATGTTTACACACCGCTACACCAGCTACTCATCTGAGGCTGAGTCGACCTAGGGGAGGGCCCAGGACGAGGTTCAGATAATCGTCACCGGTGTTGTCCGCGAGCGGGAGTCGAACCCGGGTGGCCGGGTCCGCAGCGCTACCCGCTCCGCCTCTCCTCCACCTCGAACACAAACACAAACATCACCCCAATTCACTCCTTGCCTCATCTGGCTCCCCCACTCTACCCCCGCATACCCCGCGTTGCCTCCCTGACCCCCCACCCCCCCAGCCTCTCCCCGTCACTCCACGTGAAACGTGCGCTGACGAAGCAGAGCCGCTCATCAGTGCGGGGTCACCTTCGGGCCCGTGGTGGTGAGGAGTGAATGGGGGGGGGGGGGGGGGGTGAGCGAGTCCGGGTCAAGGTGAGTGGGTGGCACGAGCGAAGCTTAACGGCCTTCGTTTGTGATTTGCTCAAGCGCCGTCGTCATCATCGCTAAATCCACTGCTGGATGAAGGCCTCCGCAAGCCGCCACCACCCAACGGCGTCGTGCGATGTACTAATCCACCCGGCACCTGCACAGGAGCTGGTTTAATCGCTCCGTCTCCTCGGTGTAAGTCAGAGAGTTGCGCACATCTTTCGGCGGCCCGCCAACCCTCGTTCTTAAAATGTTGGGGGTTCACAGGTGCCTGCTATCAAACCAGTTTCTCGGGTGTATTGAGTTGTTGATCCAAAGCCTCGCAACCAAATGACTGCAAAGACAAATATCTCCCGTGTAGCCTTAACAGCCTGTATGGGCAAGTGCTGTTAGCCAGCACACACACAAAACACCTCCACATCACATGAAATTTGTTTCGATTTCAGCTCTGAGAATTAAAAGCAATGGTTCGACTGTCATGCGACAAACATTGCCCTCGTGTGGCAAAGCGAGTGGGCAAAAGCCGCCCTCTGCTGAGTAGACCAGGTCACTTGAAGGAATCCAAGAGGAATTCAGCGAACTACCAAGATGCTCCCGAAGGAATAAAGATGCCATATCAGCTGCTTGTGACGCGTGTATGAGAAACGTGGATATGGGCAAATACAGCGGCACAAAGGCGGACGAGTGCGCAAAGTAGCACGGAGAGTGGCGCACGCTCGCAATGTACGCTGAGATACACAAAGAGGAACCCCCCCCCCCCCCCCCAGGTGAGAGAACGCACACACAGGTTAGATTCGTCATTCTGGCCGTAAATAAGTAGACTTGGGCAGGACCCTCTCCGCCCCCCCCCCCATCCATGGTCGAGACGAACCACAGAGTTGCAGTCAAAGGAGGGAGTTACCTCGTGAACCGCACAGATGGAAGGATGACATCAGCTCGTGGTGCATAGGAGCTGCGGTTGAAGGTTGGATAGCGACAGCGTGAGATGGCAATAGCTTGGGGGGGGGGGGTGGCGTTCAGCCAGCAGTGGATCGATCATGACTGCTTGCCGCTCTTGCTGATGATGATATAGGCCTTTAGGGCGGTGCGTACATTCACTGTGTTGATGCGCGTCGCTTGGATACAGATGTGGCTGGCAACAGCTGGCAGTGTTGCAGCGGGGGTGATCCTTAGGGATGGCGGTGGTGATGGTGGTGATGATGGGGATGATGGAGGGAGAGATGCTGGGGGTGGGGATGGAGCGAGAGGGGTTCGGTGGGGGGGGACAGAATTCACATTAATCTGAGCGGCTTGGCCGGGCGATGTGGATTGGTGGTGAGAGGGGATGCTGTTTTTAGCCGTGTGATGTCACCTTGTCAAATGCGCGCACAGAGACACACACGGGCCCCTTTGTGAGGGCCAACATTTGCCAAAGCGCCGCACATGGAATCCACGCCTTCACCTAAATCAATCACGAAATCTCCATACACTTTGACCAAACATTCACGGACGCTAGCCACAACACTAACCCGCAACCACCCCCCACCACCCCCCCCCCTCCATTGCGACACAAACCTCTGTTGATTGTTACTCAAGAGTAAGTGTTAGTGTGAGTGCTGCTACAACTCGAAACACTTCTGTATAAACATGCATATTTATTTTAACGTCAATTTCTAAGAATTCGTGACGCTGAAAGAGGTAAGCGAGGTTAAGGCGCAGCCCTGCAATTTCGTGCGCCTGCCACCGGTGGCGAAAGGAACCCTCAACCACAGAGATGCACGGAGAGAGCCACTCTCGCCGGACTTTGGTCTACTCTTCCTCGCTGGTCAGATGTCTTTGCAAGGAGCGGTAGTAGCCACACTTCACACCACCACAAGAGCTCCTGCCGATCGGACAG